AGATTTGCATTGGTTCTCACGTGGAGGAGCTCCCCTGGCCTTGGAGCGTTTGGTGATGTCTACACATTTTTCATAGTGATAGTTCAAGTGTGATGTGCAGAGGGGCACTAGACACTATTGACATGTAGCAGGTAAAGGCCCAAGTCACTTAATCATTTTACAATGTACAACCTCCCACAGCAAGGATATATTCAGCCCCAGATGCCAACAGTGGGACCTGGGAAAGAGTCCAGGGATGCTTCCTACTTATGTGAAGCTACAACTTTAGCTTCCTTAAACACAATGTCTTACATAGGATAGATGTAAGGTCTGATTTTCCTAAGATTCTTCTCCAGTTTTCTCAAGGTAACGCTTCGTTTGCCAGCATGGCTACCTCGACAGCAGCTACTCAAAGTGTTAGGAACTGACTAATCACTACCATGCTCCCCGGAGAGTGGATATTGGGTGATTATTGTCTCCAATTTTGTGATAACTTTGTGTGAAATGATCAATATTTGCATTGTTATGACCACATGGATGCTCACCACTGCCACAGCAGATAAAACACTGTGATTACTTTGCTTGCACATTTTTAGAAAACGATTAATTGACACTTTAAAAGTCATTTATTTCCCATTAGAAGTTCATCATAAACCTCAGCCTCTATATGAAACCTTTGCCACCAGGAAGAGCTGATTCTCTCTCAGCCTTTCTTATGCGCTGTCTCTCACTTTGTTAACATGCAGTACCTTGATATGTGCATCTCTTGAACCAGAATATAAGATCTTTGATGTTAGCCTTAATATCTTTATCTTTGAGCCTTCAGAGTCTCGCATCAGTAGCAAGCACACAGTGTGTAATGAGTATTTGTTGACTAATGGATGGAACAAGAGTGTTCTTTGTAAAGTAGCCTGTAGTATTTGGTAACAGGCTTGGTGAATGTTTCACTGATTTCTCAGTCTCTTCTTACAGATTGTAAAGTCCTGTGAAGACCTGAGTAGTTAAAATGAACAGAGCAAACCTCATGGGGTCTGTGGGTACTTAAAGATTTCCTGTCTCTTCATTCCAGCCAGGTCCTGTGGGGGAAAGGTATTATCTTCCATTATAAAGATGGAAGGACTAATTTCAGATTTGAGAGGAACTGTCTTGGCTCAATTATTAGAATCTGCTCAGGCCAAAAATGCTTTTGTTTTTCCAGATAGGTTTATGACCACCAGTTACTAGCTGAAGATGGTTTGTAGGGCAGTAGGAGGTAGAGTGTATGTTGTTCAGAACCTTTTCTTGAACTGGGTACTGGTTTATCTGAAAACACCTCCCCTCTTGGCCTGTCTCTAACCTCTGAGCTGGTGGCCTCTTTTTCTCAACTGATGCCAGAACGTGGAGTAGGGATTAGCAGAAGGAGCCTGGCCATGGGCCTTGGTTTGATGGAATATTTGAATAATTGTTTCAGTGGAACCAGTGTTCCCTCCATTAGATAGAAGTGGAGAACAATGGGTTAAATTATAAGCAATATTAGGAATAAAAGTAGCTAGACAAAAATTGGATAGTATTCTAAGCTATTTTTCTGATAAAACTTAACCTTTATAACGATCCTGAGAAGTAAATATTTTCACTTTTAGCTTGTAGATATTGAATCTCTATTAGATTTAGACTTCCCTCCCTTCTTCCCTTCCTCTCTCCCTTCTTCCCTTCCTCCTTTCCTCCCTCTCTCCCTCCCTCCCTCCCCCTTCTTTCTTTTCTTTCTTTATACAAATTCCATGTGTGTACATATTTGTGTGTGTGCATATAAGTGTGCATATAAGCATGTGGAGGTCCAATTGGCTACACTGGCTGGGCAGCAAGCTCCATGGATACCTGTCTGTTTCCTCTCCCCCAGCACCACTGTTTCAAATGTGTGCCACCATGCTGACTTTTTAAGTGGGTGCCAGGGGATCCAAACTTAGGTCCTTATGCTTGTGTGGCTGGCCCCTTACCGACTGAGCCATCTCTCCAGTCCATCCTTTCCTTAGCTTCCCTCCCTCACTCCTCCCCTCCCTTCCCCTCCCCTCCCCTCCCCTCCCCTCCCCTCTTCTTCCCTCCCTTCCCCTCCCTTCTCTTCTTCTTCCTTCCTCTCCCCCCCTCCCTCTCTCTCTCTCTCTCTCTCTCAGCTATTAGAGTACATGAACTATAGAGTTCAGGCTTCCTCATTTTGTCTCGGGGGAAAACCAACTTGTGAATTGGATTTTAGAAATGACTTAACTGTGTTTTATTGTTTCCCAGAAGAATTTGCTGCTGGGAGTTTTTGGATTTGAAAACTTTTTGAAAATAGCCTATTTATTTACTGATTCTTCATGTATCGTATTTTGTGTTAGGTACTGAGATTTCAAAGATGAGTGGTCTATAATTCCTGTGCTTCAGGAGCCCACAGCAATTGTTGGCTTCTGATTGTTTTAAGTGGGAAATGCTAGAGAAAAAAGTATAAATAATGGAAGTTTGGTGGCAAAATTGTGGGTTTTTTTTGAAAAAAGATTCACTCCTTTTTTCCCCCATTGCAACAAACAAAATGTGCTTGTAGAAAAATTAAAAAATAAAGATAAAATTAAAAAAAAGTGTTCCCAATGAGCTGGATCAATTTTCTGTTTGTCTACCTTTTGATTATTAGACAAATGGAGAAATGTGCTTTACACACACACACACACACACACACACACACACAAACACACACACACACACACACAAATCAACCACATTAAATCAGTACTCTATGGTCTGTTTGCTTATTTGGAAACACACTAAAATGTACTATTAATGTTTTAACACCATTTTTATGCATAAAGGTAGGTCAAATGTGTTTAATTAATCATGTGTTGCTAGACACTAAGGTAAATGATGTGTGCATGTGTGTGCGTGTGTGGTGTATGTGGACGTGTGTGTGTGTGTGTGTGTGTGTGTGTGTGTGTGTGTGTACATACAATCTTATAAAGGACAGAAGGTGTTGGGTATCCGACTCTATTATTTAACGTACTTTTCCTTGACTGAACCTGGAGTAGGGCTTTCAGCCTGGGTTTGTCCTACGGTTCCACTGATAGGAACTCAGTTTCTCATGACTGCATAGCAAATGCTCTTACCCACTGAACCATCTCCTATCTCCTATTTAAGAACTTTTAATTCTTTATAACTTAGGTCACACAGAGACCTTTGTAGGTAACTTATTCTGTGTATATCCTGCATTATTTCCAGAGGAGAACTTACCAGTTTATAAGTACTGGGCATGAAGAATTGCAAGTGTTTAATTTCTTTTGTTTTTGTGTTTTGTGTTAAATTGTGCTCCAGAAAAGGGTAAATTTGCCCATCACCAGTGTTTTAAGTTTCCATTTCTGTTCAATTTCTCCAACCTTTGGTACTTTCTCTTTCTTTAAAACAATGTTTTCCAATTCAATAACCAATAAAGCTGACATTATAAAGAAAATTTTTGGAAAGTTTTGACCTTATAATTTGCTAGCCATTGTTTCCTGGCACACTGCTATCATTTTGTATCGTAGTTAATTGGCTGGCTCCTTATCTGCCTCGTGGCTTCAGAGCTTCTTGAGGGTCAAGTGTATCCTAATCACCTGGGTGTTTCCAAAGGCTCATGATTGTTTGTTGAATTAAATGGAATTGGAGAACATGTTGCCTAGCAACTGTTGGCCAGATGTATAATTTCCAACAACCAATAGGAATGCTTGTTATTTCTGTCAGCTGCATAGCAATGAGGCAATTTACTGAGCACTGATTATATGTCAGGATGTGTTTAGTGATCTGTATCCTTAACACATACTTCACATACTCAACACTGTCAACAAGGTCTTGAACTAAGGAGCAGCCAATTCCCAAGCCATCTTTTTCTTCCTCTTCTTATCTCTGCTACCATTTCCTATTCTCTCCCCCTTTCATCACAGACATTTTCCACATGAGTGAACTAGAAAGACTGGCATAATAAACCTTGACCCATCCACCATTCAGCTTCACCTTTGCCTTTCTTTTCCATCTTGTACCACATTCCCATAATGTTATCTTAAAATAAGACTCAAGGCAGGTGTGGCTCGGTAGTATAGCACTTGACCAGCAATTCAAAGAACATGGGTATGATTGTCAGTATCACAAAATAATAAGGATTATGATAATAATAAAGTGAATTTTAGGTACCTTCTTTAACTAATGACTATTTAAAAAATATTTATGATATACGAATTCTTAATATAAAGCACAATGTCATTACAGTATTTTGAAATGTTTACAGCAATTCTCTAGTGGGATCTAATATCCAGTCAGTACTAATTTCCTTGGTGGTCTAATACATGACTCCTCATCCTTGAATCAGGATTAGCACAAGTACCACTTACCGTTTTCTCAGCTACTCCAACAACAACACATTTCTTTTTCCTGGGGAAAATATAAGGTCCCTCTTAGAGCTTGTTAAGTTGAAGAACGTAAAATTCTGAAAGAATCATCATGGGAGGTGTGGGTTGATGGCAGAGGGCTTGCTTAGTATACACATGAAGCCTGGGTTTAATACCAACAATAAAAAAAAAATTCCCCATGGGCTGAGTATCTATTTGACCGCTTCACCAATGTAAGTACACTTGGAAGTTAACCTCTGAGAAACAGCAGAGCATGTGGCTGTGGGGAATGAAATAGTTCCTTTGCCATGGGGCTCATCACTTACTCTCTCTGCATCTTCATCCTTGTATTTATCTGGTTACTGGGATCCCATCCCACTACGTTTGTTTTTGTGATGAGCTGCTACTGTAGGTTACAGCCAAGTCTCCTCCCTAAAGATGTGTAGTTACAGGAAGTGGTACTGGCTTGAAAATTCTGTCTTTCCACTGAACTGAACACGTTAAGACATGCTGATCCCTGGTCTCCTTCCGGATTGGGAGAGGATAGCATGCAACAGAAGCCACGGGGTTGCTGTTTTCCATAGCGGGTCATGACATTTAAAGGATATTTTACATTGAGTAAAGTTTCAAATTTATTTTCTGATTCTGTTTTTTAATTTGAAGGTCTTGCAATTCTCCACTGTGTGGTGGCAGATGGGAACACAACCAGAACACCTGAAACCAATGGCTCTCTCTGTGGAGCTCCTGGGGAAAACTGCACAGGTAACGCGTATGCTTCAGAATTAATCCTGGAAAGCTACACCCCTAGACTTAATTTTTTAAAAAATAATATTCATTATACTAGGTGATTCTTTGTGCTTATAGTAGTATACTAGGTACTATATTAAGTAGTTTGCATGCAGTAATTTATTCATTACTTGAAGAGTTTTCTAAGTGAGATAAAATTTTAAAAACAATACACTGTATTTTATGCATTTAAATAATACTGTAAGAATTTTTTGATATAGTTTTAAAGAGAAAAGATGGGAAATTTTCAGTTTAAAAAGCTCCCTTAAGGTTACCCCACTGAAGGTCACAAGCCCGTAAATTGCAATTCTGTGATTTGAACTCCAGTCTCCCTGATTTTAGTGCCTCCATGCTTAGCCACCATATACTTAGGGTCTTAGTTACTTTTTCCAATTGCTTTGACAAAATCCTTGATAAAAATAGCTCCAGGAAGGAAGGATTTATTTTGGCCCCCAGTTTGAGGGTACAATTTAGCATGGCTATGGCTGTGGTCCTGGGAGCCTGAGGCAGCTGGTCACATCATATGCACAGTCAAGAAGTATTGAGAGGTGAACATTGGAGCCCTCTAGGTTTCTCCTTTATATTTGTGCAGATACAGTAGCTCAACCAAAGCCGCTGTGCACATTCAAGATGGGTCTTCCCACCTTAGTTAACACTCTATGAAAGCATCCTCTTAGACATGCCCAGAGGTATGTCTCCTAGGTGATTCTGAGTTCTGTCAAGTCAACAATCAAGATTAACCATTTCACCCTGTGTCACCAATTCATGGTGCTCCAGACTACATTATGTGATGTATTGGCTTGGATTCATGAATTCTTGGTGCATTCCACACTTTTCTGCTTTCTCTATTCCATACTCTAAAAAAGAGAAGAAGGAAAGGACTTTTGCACACTCTATCTTGCAGATGCTTGAATTAATATTCTCAGAGGTTTTATGCTGCACACATTTGGTCCTTAGACCACCACTTGCTATTGTTGGCTGATCCAAGTTGCTTTTGGTTCTACATAGATTTTTGTGACCTGGTCCTCTACAAGGATTATTTCTAATTTTAGAAAAAAAAAATTTAAAAGCTACAGGCCACTTTAAATATTTGGGTATAGCTGAGGAAGTGCCTGGTGCATTCCCTGGGAGATTTATTGAGCTAGGAGCATGGTCACTGGATGTGAGTATGCTTTGACTAGTACCCTGGGAACAGTGCACAGGCCAGGAACATGTTGAGTAAGTCTTCCTCAGCTGAGTCATCAGTTCTGGCCTGATCTTCCTATTTTATCCCCCAGAGCAGTGGGTGGGCTGCAGGATGTGCATAGGCCATGGAATCTACTGGTGTCTTAGTTCATGCTTATGGGGGCCTGGTTTTGTTACTCTTGTTAAGATAACAAGGTCAACTTTATATGGTTGATTGTTTTTCTTCAGTTTAGTTTCAAATATCATTAAATGATGGCATTTTCAACATAATCACTCTGAAAAATTATTCCATAATCTTATGATTGACAATATTCAAAAATCTTCCCTGCCATAATCCTTAAGATTTTTTCTGATTTTATTTTTGTCAAAGTAAGTACATTTAACACCTCTACTTTTAAAAGAAATTTTGAAGTGTGTTATATAGTTGTTATTAAAAGTATGATGTTATATAACAGATATTTTGAAATAATTTGTGTTTAAATAACTTTATGCCTACTATATAGCAATTCCCATATCTTTCTTCCTCAAGATGCTGGTAACCATGATTCTATTGTCTGCTTCTGTGAATGTTGCTGATTTAGATAGCTCAGAGAAGTGGGGTCATACAGGATTAATCCATAGTGACTGTCCTGTTTAGTTTAGTATGATGTTCTCCAGGTGAATTCAAGTTACCATGTATTCCAGGGTTTTCTTCTTTAACATGGCTGACTATTGCCTCATTGCATATGCTGTATTTTCTTTATCCATTCATTTGTCAATAGACACTTGGGTTATATCAACAATTGAATCTTGTGAGGGATGCTGCAATGGACATGGAATGAAAATATCTCTTTGATTTCCTAATTTCAGCTCTTTAGGATTAATACCCAGAAGTGAGGTATTCTGGATCATGTGGTTGCTCTATTTTAATTTTATTTGAGGAACATCCACTCTTTTCCATAGCCAGCCTGGAAGATTAAATGCTCACCAACATAAGGTTCCAAATTCACCACATAATCTCTCTCTTCCTCTAATTCTGGTAAGAATGAGGCAATCTTTTATCCTGGATTTGATTTACATTTCTCTGAATGATACATGGTATTAAGCAGGTGAGTGTGTGTGTGTGTGTGTGTGTGTGTGTGTGTGTGTGTGTGTGTGTGTGTGTTTTGACCATTTGTAAGTCTTCTCTGGAAAAATACCTGTTTAATTCCACAGTCCCATTTCAAAGATTAGATTATTAACTATCTAGTTTAAGAGTTTCTTATTTTAGATATCAATAACTTATTGCACGTATAATTTGAAAATGTTTACTCCTATCCTATAGGTGCCTTGACTCTGCTGATTCCTTTCTGTGCTGTGCTTTCATTCTGGCTTTTGGTACTTATACTTTTGGTGCCATATCCATCAGAAAGTTTTCCCATGTGATATCTCATATGAGTGTTAAAGCTTCATGTCTTACATTTAAATCTCAAATCCATTTTGAACATACTATTGTGAATAGTGTAAGAAAGGAATCAAATCTCATTCTTTTTTGTAGGATACTCATTTTCAAACTTCATTTATTTATTTTATTATTTAAGATTAGAATACAATTACATCATTTCCCCCTTTCCTCTTCTTTCTCTGACCCTTCCCATGTATCCACAGCCCCCATCTCTTTAAAATTCATGGCTTCTTTTCTCTTTAATTGTTGTTACATGCATATGTATATAACACATATGTGTTCTCTCTATATATGTATGTTACTAAATACTAAAGTATGACCAGCTCACTCTGTACAAAGTTACTTGTATGTGTATTTCAGGGCTGACCATTTGGTACTGGATAACTAATCATTGTGCTCTTCCCTGGAAAGACTATATCCCTCTCTCAGAATTTCCTAGTTGCTTGTAGGTCTTTGTCTTAGAGTTGAAGTCTCTTGAACTTTCCCCCTTCTATGTTAGCATGTTTATTGATGTTATCCTTGGTCAGGTCATGTTTTGACAGACTTGACCTCACATTTTTGGTGATACTTCACGGATGTAGCTTCTGACATTTCTGGCAGACACAATCATACAGCAAACTTCCTGATCCTCTGGTTCTTATACTCTTCCTCCATCCCATCTATAAGATGCTTATTATTAACCACCCGAAAGTTATATGGGGACATCAAAATGAGGATGATGTGAGGGAACTATTTAAAAGGCAAATTGCCTGAAAGCAAAGACCAGGTGGAGTCCAGATGGCTCTGGAAGAATAGCTGATATCAAGAGCAGAACTTTAATGACTGACTCTCACATTGGCAAGTCACTTATGCTTTCAGAACCTGAGTCTGGAGCCAGCAGCACCAAGAAGCAGATTAGATGATACTGAGACAGATTTTCTGTGTCTAAATGATTCTTTTATTTTTACTGTTATTAAACTCAGTGTCTAAGAATTACATTTTCAGTTTGTCATTTTCTGATGAGTAAGGAGTGCATTCACTCATACTTACAAGCATCTATGATACAATGGGCCTTCTATGATGACAGGAATAAACAATGAGCAAAAGGAGCAAAGATAAGGTCAAGAAAGTAGTGGGAGTGACTTGTAGAACTACTCAGGTTAATTAGTCCATTTTTGTGAGCATCTCTCTGGCATCTGTGTTGCCAATTAGATAGCTGAGATGTCACATAGAAAAGCAGAAGAATTTGAGGTGTCACGAGGAAGGAGACAGCCTCCAGCCTAGAGCTGATGTGGGAATGAAGCCCAGTGGAGGGTGTGATGGGGTGATTTTGCATGTGTTTTGAAGACAGCCAATAGGATTTGCTGATCAATTAGATGTAGAATAAGAGTCAAAGAAGTCCAATAATGCTGAGATATTTGGTCTAAATAAACAGTCAGAATGAATACAATTTACTGAAGTAAGGAAAAGTTAAAATGCCAGTTTAGATAGCCAACTGTATGGTTAGTTGGACAATTCCTATAATGTGAAGACATCTTAGATGGGACATCAACCTGGGAATTGTTGCCATGAAAATAGGACCTCATGGACTCACTCCTGGACTGTGTATAGAGAAAGGAGGCCATCCTGGGCTCTAAGAGGGTGATAAGCTTTAGAAGCTAAGGGAGATGAGAAAGACCCTGCATAAGGAGGCTAGGGGACTGAGCATAGAAATTGGGATTTCATTCAGAATTTTATAGCATGTTTGTTTTAAAACCAAAATAAAACACATTTTCTTCTTGACCATTGGTCATTTGCTCCAGCCGTGAAGAACTTTGAATGTATATAAACATAGAACACTTCAACATTCCTGGTGTTTAGCAATGAATACACAACAAAATCAACTAATTATGGAAAAATATTTATTTTTGTTCTCAGTTTCAGTAGTTCCACTGTATGGACACCAGACCTTGTTGCTTTGGTGCCTGTGGTGAGGCAACACTTCATGGTGGGTATGTGTCTCAGAGGCAATCACTTCATGACGCTTGGGAAGCCGGGAGAGAAAGAAACCAACGTTCTACAGTCACCTGTTCAGGCACACCTTGAGTGAGCCAAGCTCTCCCACTACACCTGTCTTTCTAAAGGTTCCACAGTCATCAATAGGGTCGTGGGCAGGTGACCAAGTCTTTAACACATAAGCTTTTGGTCATTTTTTTCCTTTGGTAGACTAAAGCAGGTCAGCTTTCTGCATAGACTTCAGTTCTGTAATGGCCAGCCTGGCTACCTTGGTCAAAATACAGTCTAACCCAGCTTTAACACCATCCCATGATTCCCACCTCTCCCCAGTTTCAACCATAGATCCCAGTTGCTCAGAATGGGGCACCTTCCCCTTCTCCTTTTCTATGAGAAATGCCGTTTAGCTGTAAGACATACGGTATTCCCCAAATTCCAACTTTTTCATTGCTTCAAGGACATTGTAAATTCTCCCTGCTCCTGATTCAAGGAGATAGTTGGTAAGATAAGAAGGTAAGATAAGACAGCTTTAAAAATATAAAATTGTCTTCTTCAGATTTTGGCATAAGAAGATTTTAAACTGAGGAAACCTCTGCTGGGAAGAGGTTTCTTCCCCCAGCAGCTCAGAAGTGGGTTATGAAAGCCTTTGACAACACTTCACAGGCTAGAAGGAAACCCATCCATCCCCAAGTTCTCTGGGGCCCTGTGTATCCTCTTCTGAGCATGCTTCTTCATTTTAGAGGTCAGATATGTGTGGGAGGATGAATATGGAGTCATTTGCCCTCCTCCCCCTCTCTTTCTTTATCCCCGTCAGGTTTCTGTTTCAAGTCTTAGCATCCTCCCATAGTTAGTTCCATTACATATGTAATTAAGGTGCTAGAAATAATGTGAACTAATAATCACTGCAGTAAGTATTACAAAAAGCATTATTGGGCCAATGGGATGGCTCAGTAGGTAAAGGCATTTGCTGTCCAAATCTGAGGACCCGGGTTTGATTCCTGGAACCCACATGGTAGAAGGAGATAACCAATTTCTTCATGCTGTCATGCCATGCCCTGCCATGTCATTCCATGCTGTGCATTTAGTCACCCACACTGTCATGCATGCACCCACCTATGTACACACACAAGTTAGTTAAATAATCAATGTAACACAATGTTTAAATGTCAGGATAATTATAGTATAAGTTACCCTTAGAGTAAGTAGCCTGCTGAGGTGAGGTATGGGTAGCATGCCATTTACAGAATTATTAAATACATTCATAACATGCACTGTTGGAATAGTCAGTGGAGATTTTATGAAAAACAGACCTAATGTGTCTGTACTTGCTGGTTTTGTGTGTCAACTTGATACAAGCTAGAGTCATCAGAGGAAGAAACCTCAGTTGAGGAAATGCCTCCATGAGATCCAGCTATAAGGCATTTTCTCATTTAGTGATCAATGGGGAAGGGCCAGACCATTGTGGGTGGTGTCATCCCTGGGCTGTTGGTCCTGGGTTCTATAAGAAGGGGGGCTGAGCAAGCCATGGAGAGCAAGTCAGTAAGCAACTCCTCTCCATGGCATCTGCATCAGCTCCTGCAACCGAGATTCTGTTCTGTTTGAGTTTCCTGTCCTGACTTCCTTCAGTGATGAACAGCAATGCTGGAGTGTAAGCCAAAGAAACCCTTTCCTCCCCGACTTGCTTTTTGGTCATGGTGTTTCGTTGCAGCAACAGAAACCCGAACTAAGACAGTGTCCATTCTGAAGAGCTTCAGTCAGAACTGTTAGAAAAACTCTTTGCATTACAAAACTCTGTTATGTTTAATATTGTAAATATGTCAGAATCAGGAAAATTTCATATCAGAACTAAATTATTTGGTTGCTTTTCAGATTTCTCTCCATTGGCTTAGCCCACAGGAATCTGTCATATCTAATCTAACTAGCCTTATGACCAATACGAGCAAGTGCTTCTCATCGAACGGTCCATAGGAGCCAAGCAAGTTGTCTTTGTTTCCGAGCCCTACTGCAAAGTCTTTAAATCATTTTTTGTTGTTGCTGCACACAGTCATCTGTCATAGCTCTCATGGTTTCTGACTCAGCTGACCATCAGGATCTTGAGAAGCCAGTGTCCCACAACAGATTGAGACAGTATCTGTGGCAGCCCTCCAAGTCTGGGGTTATGCTTGCAGCCTGGCCAACAGGCAGGTGCAGTTGCTCTGTGAAATTCTGAAATGCCACCTTACTGAAAAATACCTGTTTGCATGCACTCATTGACCCAGGTTCAGATGAGAGGGAGAAGACCAACGAAGCTCACTCACCTCTAACATCATGGAGGTTGTCTTGTTGTTCCATTTTTAGAAAGATGCCATTCAATTTTCAAGAAAGAAATGTAATGGTTGGGGCTGGTGATACTTTTGTCATAAGATTAACTCCTGTAACTCCTTCTTGATAAACATCTGGGCACCAGAAGAGTGGAATGAGCTCCCCTCTGGCTCCATTCACCCACCTCTACTGTCAGGTCTCATGATAGTCAGAACATGGCTTCCCAGTTCAATTTCGGACAATGTGACTCAGGGGGATGCTGGATGAGGAGTAAACATTACTCTGCCTTTTGCAGAGAGAATGCTGACAAATGTTCTCATTTCGAAGATCGTGCAAGACAGGTTTTTGTTTGGTTTTGTTTGGTTGGTGTTAAATATCAAATGTGTGATTTATTTCTGTTTCAGCTCTGAAAGTTCCATAGAGAAATCACCAGGCATTTTCTGCCTGCTGGCAAGAAAAGGGGTTTAAATCCAAATAACTCTGGGAGTATTTAAAAGCATGCTTCTTCTGCGAGCTAAGCTGAGTGATCAAAACAGGGCCTGGCAACTGCTTGGCTGGCATGGATTTGTGCTGCTTGGATGGGCAGAGGCTGCTTAAATCGCTGCATCCAGCAGCTGCTAGTTAATTTGTCTTTTGGAATGATATTCTTCGTGGTGTTCATTGGAAGTCTGGATGCATATAAAGGAACCCAGCAAAGAGAGGAATTAGTAAAGTTTCCGATACAAAACCCCATGCCTTAGACTTAAAGGCTAGGATGCTTTGCAAATCAAGAAAACTCTTCTGGAGCATAGAAGATCTCTGCCTTGCTACCTCTTAAATGTATCTCTTTGCTTTTCATTCCTTGGTCCAGGCCCACATCACACTTGTTGGCATGCCCCTGTGCTCCTCGGCTTTCTCCTAGCGCCTAGCCTCTCCCTGTGCTAAGGTAGTCTGCACTACCTTACCTGGTGGTTGGAAGACTGCTTCCCTATGTTTTCCTTACAGGTACCATGTAACCTCGTTGTGCAAACAGCCCTTTATTCTCTCTTGGTCTACATGTCACTGCAGTCTGCTGAGGCTCATGTAGATGTAACCAACCGTCTTATTAAATAAGAAACACAGAACCAATGCAAAGAAGAAAGCCAAGAGATCAGAGCTAAGAGCCTTACCCTGCAGCTAGCCTCTTAAGCCAAGAGACCTCTCCGAAAGAGACCTACTTCCTGTGTGTTTGTCTTTATATAGTCTTTCTGTTCTGCCTTCTCATTGGTTGTAAACCCAAACACATGACTGCCTCGTCACTGCCTGTCTGTAGAGACTTCCAGGTCTTCTATGGTTGGTATTGAGATTAAAGGCATGTGTCTCCAATGCTGGCTGTATCCTTGAATACACAGAGATCTACCTAGTTCTGTCTACCAAGTGCTGGGATTAAAGGCGTGCGCCACCACCGCCACACTCTTGCTATGGCTCTAATAGCTCTGACCCCCGGGCAGCTTTATTTATTAACATACAATTAAAATCACATTTCAGTACAAATAAAATACCACCATAGGCTCACATTCCCTAACGCTATCCCCTGCATCATTAACTGCTCTTGACAAGATCCTCCCACTTCTTTACATCTGCCTCCCATGTTCCCCATCCTGTTAGCTCTGAGTGCTTCTGCTTTTAGGGTTCCCCAGTGTTAAATTGTTTACCGACTGACACCTAAAAGCTACATTCTCCAAAAATCCTTATTTATTAAGGAAGCCCTTTCCACACTTACACAAGATTTCCTTTGAAATGGCTAAGGTCTTCAAGGATCAAGCATTGGCTTATTAGCTGGGAACTTAACAGTATTTTTTTTTTTGGCACTCTGCTGGGCACTTTCACATCCTTTCTTATATTTCTCAACAGCCAGTTAAGATAGACCTTGTCGTCTTCACTTTATAGATGTGGAAACTGAGGCTCAGACAGCTTAATTAGCATATCTGGACTCAGCTAGTGACGAGTTCAAAACCACACACTGCTCTTTCCCCCAATTCCATGTCCCTTCCCCTGCTTCCAGCACACTGCAATTGTTTCTATGGTTACTATAGCTGTTTTCCTGTCTGTCTGTTATTATTTTTAATTTGTGCTATTGTGCCAGTTAAAACACATCGAGGGGACTTTGTTCATCGATGCTTCAGTACCTACACTTAAAGGGTTAGAAAACACTGCTGGTGGGAGCTGACTTAGCAAGCGGTTTGGCAAAATTCACGTTCTTGCTTTCACAGGATGTGCCGTTATTTCTAGGAGAATCTCAGTCCCTTTGAAGAACCCCACTCACTGGTGTGCATGAGAGCAAAGTATCTGGCATGCACAAGCATTTGGCCTGCGAGTCCAGTGATTCAACGAAAACCAGGTCAGCCAGCTCCTGAGCAGCAAGCAATCTGGCATCCTCGGAGAGTGTAGAGTAGCCCTCAGAGCCCATGAGATCTGCATCCATTGGACTGACTCATTCAGTGGTGGCTCAAGTCAATAGTAGAGAGAGGCGAGCTATTATTTACTAACAGTACAGCATAACAACTTACTTGATTTCCATGTTCTGTTAGGTACCATAAGTAATTTAGACTTTATAGAGGATGTATGCACATTAGATATAACGTTATACAATATTATATAAGAAATTCAGATTTCTTGGGGTTAAGGCATCTGTAAAGGTCCTGGAAACCATCTCCCATGGATCCCAAGAGATCTGCATTACATCTTAGCATCACAGAAATCTGCAGTGTATTGATTATCCAAAAGTCTTCAAGATTCTACTGTCTGCCCCACAGAGTTGTTCTGTGTTCAGTTTCTATCAAGGTGTTTAAAGGTTATTGCTGACAACAAAGTCATAACTTAATATCATTGGCACGTGGGAGACAGTCCCTGCAGTGAGTGCTGTATGTCTTTCTTCCGCCTCTCCTCTCCCTGTTTCTCAATCCTGCAAACTGTTGGCTATACCATGTACGTGGAAGTTTAGCTCTAGGTGAGAGCTGGCTTGTGGCTTTTTTTTTCTCTCGTGTAGCTGGCATATATTAGTTGTGAATCAACAAATGAAATGGGGAGTTAGTATTTTAATACTGCTTTCTTCTTTTCCAGGCACAACCCCTAGACAGAAACTGAAAACCCACTTCTCCCGGTGCCCCAAGCAGTACAAGCATTACTGCATCCATGGGAGATGCCGCTTCGTGGCGGACGAGCAAACTCCCTCCTGCATGTAAGTAGAAGGCTCGATGCCCATGAGCAAAGGGGTGCAGCATGCTCCCAGGCTGGGGCTTGACAGCATTGGAAAGTCTGAGCTAAGCCTACCATCTGTCCGGACCCAGTTCCGTCGTGTCCTGCCTTCAGCCACTTTTTTTAGGGCCCGGCTCAGCATCTACTTGTGGAGAAACTGACGCAGACTTTCCTCCTGAAATACGAGTGTGAGAACCCAGAACCAATTCGCACCGCTGGTGTCTGTCCTCTGCTTCCTTGTGCAAGAAACGCTGATTCTGTCTGTGTTAGGATCTCGTCAGTCCCAATCATCTCCTGGGTGGTTCAAATGAAAACAGATTCTTTGGCATGTGTGAGGCGGTTCCGTAGTTGATGTCAATGCGAAGGAATTCCTGCCAAACTAGATGCTGTCCTTCTGCAGGTGTCAGTAAAGTGTGAGGAAATCAGAGTATTTGTAAGTAGAGATGATCAAGGCCTACTTAGCCCACTGGGGAGTGGGGAGAGGGGCAGACTTCAGATCAAGAGTCCAAGTTTCATTTTTTTTTGTGTGTGTATTTTTAATATTTGTTTTCTTCTAAAGGGATGTCCCTTTAAGGAGAATTCTAGGATTTTACTTCATAGAGGGATCAAGTGATTCCTTAAGCATAATTCTGACCTCAAGTTCACAGAATATGTATGTTCTGCACAGCTTGCCTAATATATATAATTTCTCATAAGTATCTCGCAAGTGTATTTTGCTTGAACATTAAGGGTTATGGATTTCCTAAAAATTTAACTCAGTTCAATTCTACAAAGAAATATACATAGATAATACTTAGAGGTAGGATAAGAATTGGTAGTGTAAAAAACAAGATGTGTGTGTGTGTGTGTAGACCTGAGTTTTTATTTTTTTACTTAGTTTTTTACTGGCTTGGAGACATATACTAAATTTTAAAATGATGAGTGCCCCTTGACCTTGACCCAGTACATTTTCTTCTAACTGGTTCCCATGTCTGCAGATTTATTGTTCTTTAACTGTGCTGTCTTCTGAGATGAAACCCAGATTGTGGAATCTCCCTGCCTGAGATCAAGTCATGGCGATCCCATTCGCCGTGAGGTTAATACCCACTTCCTCAGCCTCCAAAACTCCTTAGATCCTGGCTTAACTTCCTTGTCTTAATTTTCAGTGCATTTGCAAATGTCCTGCACGATCCCGCGATCCCGTGTTCCTTCTCAGGGTTTGGTATACAAATCCCTCTCTTAGCCTAGAGAGCTTACTCCTGCTGGTGATGTAAGGCAGCTTAAGCATCTCTCCCTCCTCCTCTTACTTTCCATGTGGGAGACCCTTAGTGAAAATAATCATCAGCTGATGCGTAATTGGTGTGTTGAGGGCAAAATGACAGGAGAGGTGCTCTAGCCATGTTGAAATTTGACCTTCTAGCATGACTTCATTGGGTGACAACCTACAGGAAGTTCTGCTTGCTGAGATACTCAGTTAAAGCTACTGAACCCAGAGTTTGTAGTTAGAAAAAATTCCTAAAGAGCAGCATGTAATGGCTGGCCATTTATAGGCAAAACAGTTGTTTAAAAAAAAGTATGTTGGGCTTGTTAAAGAAATAGTTAAGCTAATTAAAAGAGAGTGTGCATGTTTGTAAGATTTAATTATATTCTTTACAAACTCTTAAAAACATTCCCCGTCATGTCCAATTAAAGGTGATCTTTTTCAATCCTAATTTTAAGAGCATTTTGATATTTTAATGCATTTCTAGGTTCTCAGCCTGTGGTTTTTAAATAATTAAATATTTACTTATTTTATTTTATGTGTGTGCGAGTGCACACCTGAATGTATATTTATGCACCACATGTACATAGGAGCCCATAGCGGACAGAAGAGGGCATTGTATTACATGGAAATGGAAATACAAATGGCTGTGAGCTTCCATATGGGTGCTGGGAATTGAACCTGGGTCCTCTGGAAGAGTAGCAAGTGCTCTTAACCAGTGAGCCAAGGCTGCAGCTCTTTAGCCCATTTTGACCGTAGAATGAAGATATGCAGTGTTCTTGAATGAAGCAGTTCTTCCTCACTTATCCTGAGACCCATCGTCTTGTGATCCTTAGGTGTGCTTCTCCTTTCTCTATATAACAGTTTACCTTTCCATTGAGACTGTTTCTGAGTTTGTTTCTGTTGGCTTTTGAAGCATTTTGTCAGCTACAATGTAGGCAGCTGAGATCTCCTTACTGGAGAAATAACTGGCTTTGTGGGAATTAATTGCCTTGGTTCTTGTTGAGCATCAGGTATGGAACAGCCTGGCAATATATCCTGAGGTTTGTAAAGAAATGAGGTCACATAGAAATCTTTTCAAGGTGCAGAATTTGATAGTTATGATATTTAAATAACTATGCATGTGGCCAGTATTTCTTTGTGTTTGGGTGTATCTGTGAAGAATAAAGGGAAATATTAATGCAAAGATGCTAGTGTTGCAAGAGATAAATTTGGTTAAAATGAACTTGATTTTTATGTTTTCTTTAAGGTTCTACAACCCAGAATTCTATGCAGAGTCCATATATCATGGAGCCATTAGCTCAGGGAGACTTGCAGGAATAATTCCCAGTTTGGTCAAAAGTTTCCCTAACTATAACCACAGATTAGGAAATCTGCTGAGTTGAAGTTTATCTTGAGATTATATTGAGCAGGGCAGTGATGGCACATGCCTTTAATCCCAGCGCTTGGGAAGCAGAGGCAGGCAGATCTCAGAAGTCAGCCTGGTCTACAGAGTGAGTTCCAGGACAGTCAGGACTGTTAAATAGAGAAACCCTGTCTCGAAAAACAAAAACAAAAAAGAAATTATACTGATAGACATGTGAGAGACTGGGGGAAGACATAGTCCCATTGAGATTCCTGACTAATTCTGGTTGATTTCTTTCAAGAGGGCCATGGCATCAAAGGTCACTGCCTAGAGGGAAGTGGAGGCAGTGATAAACACACCTGTAAATGTAGCCTTACTCACCCATCTAACAGAGCAGCCTGGGACAGGACTTGTGATACAGCTGTGAGATGTGGATGCAAGAGCAATAAAAGACTGTTTCCTGACCTGTGGTCTCCCAAGTCATAGAATTAGAACCCAGTGTGTGTGTGTGTGTGTGTGTGTGTGTGTGTGTGTGTGTGTGTGTGTGTGTGTGTGTGTGTTGGGAGAATCTGTGGAAATAATCTTTATAGAACTTTTTGATTTTGGACATGGAGTCATGGTATTTCATACACAATACCATGTTTTTTTTTTTTTTTTTTGGTTTTTCAAGACAGGGTTTCTCTGTGTAGCTTTGCGCCTTTCCTGGAACTCACTTGGTAGCCCAGGCTGGCCTCGAACTCACAGAGATCCACCTGGCTCTGCCTCCCGAGTGCTGGGATTAAAGGCGTGCGCCACCACCGCCCGGCTACCATGTTTAACTATATGAAATTATGTAATTTGTTTGTTTGTTTGTTTTATTGAGACAGGGTTTCTCTGTGTAGCCTTGACTGGAACTTGCTCTGTAGACCAGGCTGGCTTTGAACTCATAGAGATCTGCCTGCCTCTGCCAGGTATTAAAGGCATGTGCCATCACCACTCGGTTTGACAATATGAAATCATGTTATTTTAAGGTAGTGCTTTGATGCAGTGAAATGTATATCTTACCCTACAATGAAATGAGACTTTGTACAGCTTTGTCATCCTGGTCCTGAAGTTTTTATGAACTGGGAATGTTGTGGAGGGAATTTTAGCATCCCCTTATGCACAAACTGAGAGATTAAAGTTGCAAAGTATTTTAATAGGTTGCCACATGGTCTGCTCCTATCAGACAAGTTAATGACGTTCTGCCGGTGGTAGGTTTCAGCGGAGCAAGGTGCAGTTGCTTGTGAACACGGTGGAGGAGACCTTGCCTTCTTTTATTTTCCCCTTTTTAAGGAACCGTGTTCTTCATTAAGCAATGAAAACAGTGCTAATTTCTTCCGAAAAGAAGCCCAGACTCATAAAAGTGTTTTTCTTGTACAGCTGTGAGAAAGGCTACTTCGGGGCACGGTGTGAGAGAGTGGATTTATTTTACCTCCAGCAAGACCGAGGACAGATCCTGGTGATCTGCTTGATTGTGGTCATGGTGGTATTCATCATTCTGGTCATCTGTGTCTGTACCTGCTGTCAGTAAGTGTATTTGTTTGCACTCAACTTTAAGTAAACCTGAGAAATTACATTTTGCTTTTCTTCTCTTCCCCTTTCTTCTTTCTCTTCTTTTTTTCCCACCATCTCTTCCCCTTTGCTTTGTTTTAAAGAAGTAAACTTTTTGAGGCACATGCTTTTTGATATAAAATTTATATTAGTAGTGAAACACATTGGAGATCATTTTTATCAGTTTACTGGGAATAATTATTATAGGTTGAAACAAAATTTGTAGATATCTGCTATGGGATGTCTTTCTGTATCCTTTGAATATGTGTTGCAATGATTGCTTAATAAAGAAGCTGCTCTGGCCTATGGTGAGTCAGATTATAGCCAGGCAGGAAATCCAAGAGAGAGACAGGAAGAAGAAAGGCAGAGGGGAGAGAAACACCAGTCGCAGGAGAAGCAAGATGTAAAAGTACCAGTAAGCCACGAAGCCACGTGGCAACTTATAGATAAATAGAAATGGGTTAACTTATAAGAGCTAGCTAGTGAGAAGCTTGCCACAGGCCAAAAAATTGGTAATTTATATTAAGCCTGTGAATGATTATTTTATGAGTGACTGTGGGACCTTGGGGCTGGTTAAGACTGGAGAAACCTTCTGGCTACAGATACCTTTGGGCTAAAAGTTCCAGTCATTTAGTCCTGAGGGCAGATGTATTTTGTGCTTGTTAGGAAGTTAAATAAAATTTTCATTTTCCAAAACTGCCTAATTACTTAGTGACATTTAAGAATAGAAACAAACTAAAACATTTATGTGTGACCATGTTAAAATATCAACTTTTACATGCATGGGCAATTTCTCTGTTTTCATTATCATGAGTTTTCATTATGCATTTGGAATCAGAGATATCTTTCTTTTTCTTTGAAAGAAAATGGGTTGGGACAATTATTAACCCATGGGCAGCTTCTCTTGGAGACCTATCATTAAGTTTCATATTTTCTCATCTTGAGGAGTGTCCCTTCCTAAAACATTGCATCCACTTCTGTGCTATGGACTATGCTAAAAAGAGATGCCTCACAATTCCTGTTCTTGAGATAAAACAAAGAAAAACAAACGAACAAACAAAAACACAAAACTCCCAAACAAAATACAAAAACTGAATTTGACCAGCTCCACCATTAGGTAGTTTTGAGACTTGGGACAAATTTTTTAATGTCTCTGAACTGGATTGTGTTTTCTATAAAATACAAGTATTAAACAAGATGATTTACAGGAATCCTAGCTATTAAATTGAGAGATTGTTTTGAGTTTTTGTACTTTATGGTAGAAAGGAATGTTTTTTTTTTTTCTTTTTTTGGTTTTTCGAGACAGGGTTTCTCTGTGTAGCTTTGCACCTTTCCTGGAACTCCCTCTGTAGTCCAGGCTGGCCTCAAACTCACAGAGATCCGCCTGCCTCTGCCTCCCAAGTGCTGGGATTAAAGGCATGTGCCACCACCTCCCAGAATGTTTTTAATGTCACATTTAGGGCAGAGGATGAGTTGAGCACAGCTGAGAAATGATCCTTTTATATTAATTTTGAACCACACGTTCGGGAAACTAGAGTGCAGCCTAGAATATTAAATCAATTTCTTCATTAATGTGCCTAGAACTTTAGTAATGTTTCTGGGGGCTGCTATCACTCCCCCAGTTTCTTATGCCTGTTCCAGCCCCCATTGCTTCTTTACATTGAGTAGAGCTAATTGTTGTACCCTGTGAAATAACTTGGCATGGAAAATTTTCTTTTGCCTACTAAGCTCTCTCAATAATCAGGTAGAAGATTCTTTTTACTTAACATCAATATGTATATGGTCTGTGGTAGCCAGCGCTTGAACTTACAAAAAGATATATAACAAAAGAGAAGCCAGTGGATGTAAGATAAAAAGGAACTTACATATCCTGAATAATATAGAAAGAAGGTCACAGGCTCTCTTACTGAATATTTATATATTGACATGGACTCACATATTTGGACTAATTTCTAACATATTATTTTTGAAGTCCCCTTCGGAAACACCGTAAAAAGAGGAAGGAAGAGAACATGGAAACTCTGGGTAAAGATAAAACTCCCATAAGTGAAGATATTCAAGAGACCAATATTGCTTAATGGTAAGTATGCTGAGCATAGTAGATGGGAAGCCCGGTGACTGTCAATGGTACATTGAGGTTTATTTATGTCTAATAATCATTGATTGGAATTGGGTTATGTATACAAACATCTAAAGATAAATTCATTTTCTTTATGAAACCTAAAGGTTTTGTCATAACTGTATCATGACATAATAACACAGGAAAATAGAAGCAAATAGCTAGTCTTTGTTAAATCAGACTAAAATAATTAATTCCAGTTTTATTCTCAAAGGACAATTCCATTCTTTCCCTTCTCTTGAGTGTATTACCACAGAAATAGGCATTCCAGTGCTACACAGTTGCCATGCTTCTTTTGTATATTTTTTTCTTCCACACTTTTGAGCAAAAGAACAAGTATTTTAATTTAGACATATCACCATTAAGAGAGGAAATACAACAACAATAGCAATGTGAAGAAGATGATGATGGTGATGGAGAATTTAGTATACATGAAGCATAGTTCTCAACTCTTGAAGTGTTTGTGAGTCAGGATCCCAACCATAGTCACAGATCCTCTCGGTTTATTCAAGCAGATACTCTAATAAGAGTACTACCAGGTCACTCTCCTAAGAGTCTAGGAAGACCACCATGACACTCGACTCTGGTTGCAGCAAGAAGTCACATGAATGCCCTATACGCGGTGGGGCCTTGGTGAGAATTAGCTGGCATCCCTCAAGGTGGGAGCAGTTGCTCTGGCAGAAAGAGCCACTGCTGAAACCTAGACAATGGGAAAAAAATAAACAAATGCCCCAAAGTGTCCCTGCTTCAAATCTTCAGCCCAAGCCTGGCACCCAAAACAAATTGACAGTGGAGTGGAGCCCCAGCCCTGTAATCAGTAACAGGAGCCCCTTGGAAAATCTGCAAGGGGCTCACAGAGCACAACCAGCAGAAGCAAGTGAGGGTGATTTGGGTTATAATGGCAGGAAATCCAACCAAGGCTATTTTAAAACTAAAGTAGTGTGTTGACCCACATGAATGGTAGCTCCATAGTTGGTGGCACCTCTAGGAAATACAATTTCTCTCTTTCTGCTAAACTGTTCACAGGGTTGGCTAAATTCCTGGCCAGTTCCTCTAGGTTAGAGGAGAGGTTGGGAGCAAACAGGTCTGGTGTTTCCTTGTTCTCCCTCAGCATAGGAAAGCAGTCACCTTCCATAACACTCTGTGACAGTGACACTCCTTTCCACAAACGTCTCAGTCGCCAATGGCGAACAGTAACACTTGATGAGGAATTACAGTGTTCTTCTCATTTATTACAAAGACAACACTAATGACTCCAAGCACAAATGCCGAGTCTAGCTTAGCTATTCTTGTTGTAATTATTGTATAGTACTTTATTTTAAAGTCGTTGCTCTTATTTTCTTCATTCTCATAGGTTACAAAGTTACCGCGAGCTGGTGGTGAGCTACAAAACACTTTGCTCATTTGCAGATGGACAGGAGGTGTCTCAGGAAAACAGCTAGCAGAAATGAATGTTTAAATATTGTATTTACCTTTTTATTTTTATTTGTAACTTTGTGTTGTTTGTTACTGTTTTTAGTAATATTTTTTTTATTACGGTCTAATAATTGAGGACCTGGCTAGGTAGCATTAAAAAGAAGGGACATTTCAAAATAAGCCTTGTTGCCAGGATTATTAGTCAAATAAAAGAGAAGGGGGAAAGAGGTTAGATTTTTAAGAACTGAGTCAATAATAAGGCTCACCAGCTTTACACACTTATCGTATGCTGAACTTGGAATATATTATTTACTTTTATCCTCCACAGTCTGTGAGAGAGCATATTTCTGTTCTCATTCACATATATGCAAAAGTTAAGTAATCTCACTTAGACTTAGAGATGAAGGAATTGACGGAGTCAGAACTGAGTTGTACCCAGATTCAGAGCTGGCGCTCTTATCGTTAATTTGGGCTCCTGTAATATGCAACCCAAGATTTCTTTCTGGATTGTGCTTTGCTATGATTCTGAGGTGGTAGGGCAGTTTTCCCACATTAACACAGAATATGGAATCATGGCCAGTGCTGATGTCATCATCATGATTTTTGCAAAGTTGACTTCTATTATTATCATCATCATTATTATTATTATTTTGCTTTTCCATAAAGTCTCAGTGGCATGAGTAAATTCTTACATTTTCAAAACAAACAGATTTGTCCCATACTTATAGTAATAAATATAGATGGAAAAGTAAATGACTGGCCAGGCGGTGGTGGTGCACGCCTTTAATCCCATCACCCAGGAGGCAGAACCAGGAGGATCTCTGTGAGTTCAAGGCCAGCCAGTTCTACAGAGCGAAATTTAGGACAGGCACCAAAACTACACAGAGAAACCCTGTCTCGAAACAAACAAACAAACAAACAAACAAAACAAAAAAGTAAGTGACTGGTGTTCTTTAAACCCCTGATAGGTATTTATGCTCAGTAAAGTATAAACATCACTGTAAGAGACTGTTAGTATCAGTGATGGTGCGGTTGACCATATGCGGCCATATGTGACCACAGCCTCAATTCTAATGCACGTATGATTGCTTTCAGGTGACTTTTGATGCCATGGCATGCTGACCATAGCATCTATTATTTGAACTATTTTGCCACATGTTCCTTTGACTATTTGATCTATCTAGTAGAAAATATATTAAGCATAAAAAATGAAATTTATATTTAGTCAGTATTCTACAGAATAGGGAATTTTCCATATTGACTAGCCGAGTCACTTACAAAAGCCAATGGGAAAATGTCCTCAGACAGGGGACTTCCTGCCTATCAGGATCCTTGTAAATTTTACTTTACAAAAGAGATTCCATAGATTTAAACAAAAGCCTGGATTCCATATGTTCTTTTAGCACAGTGTTTGGAAGTAGGCTGGGGTTTCACTCATGAAGGAATAGCTCACCTGCCAATAATAGCTAAGCGAAAGTATTGTCATGTCTCAAAATGGATTTTCTTCCTTGTGACTGAATGGCCATCCTTGAAACAAGACTACCCAACTGGACTCAGATTTGTGCTTTATTTTCTAACGTTTCCATGGGCTCGAGTATGCCTTCTCTTTCTGGTCTTCTTTGATGCTAAACAGGCCTGAAATAAACATTTAAACATTTAAATTAGAACATTTAAAAATACCACCAATCCTGTTAAGTGTCTCTGCTCTCCTGGTCCCTGGTTGGCTGACCAATGCAATCTCTTTAAAGAAGTCAGTGCTGGGAAACTCACTTTTATCTGAAACTTTTAATGGTGTCTGTTGAAATTCTGATATCTAGAAAGAATTTCAAGAATTTTCATGTCTTTTCAGAGTGTATTTTGTAATTGTTTTTGCATATACTATGTTGTTGTTTATATAGACTGTTGAGGTTATAATGGAATAAAATAAATTTATTTTTAAACAAAGCAGCCATATTTTTCTTGAGAATTTTCTACTGGTACCATGAATTATTAGTAGAAATAAATGCAAACATTTGCTTTTCAAATTTTATCTTTATAGAAACCATTCATTGAAGCATCAGAAATATTCTACTTGACTCATGTGTTTTCTTTTATAAATGGAAGCATTTGGAAGCATGGGGACACCTCTGTGACCATCTGTCCAGGTCTCTGACAGAGAGAGAGAGAGAGAGAGAGAGAGAGAGAGAGAGAGAGAGAGAGAGAGAGAGAGATGCTTCTGGCAAGTGGTCAGTGAGCAACATTGTAGTCCTGGCTGCATTCACTGTCACCACTTAGGTTCATTCCTGTCTGTGAGTTCCATGAGACTCGTTAGTATCTCCATAACAAATTCCTCATTTGGCTTAAGATAGTTCTTTTGGAGTCTCTTTAACCTGGAGCTAAGGGCCTGAGTGACTCCGGTGCATTCTGAGATTGCAGACAAGAGTTTCATAATGAGAAAAACAAAGGTGTCTTTTGTTAAAATGTCGTTTCCAAATAGTGTGTGTTAATGTGCAAGAGGAGGGTCACCATTTTTACTATCCAGCTATTCAAGGCGGCACAGAGAGGGAACAGTGCACTCAGAGAACATTGACTGAGCGCCACTGAACTGCAGGTACTGTGCCAACCCTGGTGAAAACCCCAAGGCATGGTCTCTTTAGAAACACCCAGCCGAGTGGGGGATTGAGCTGTGCACTGATAATGTCAGTGTAATTTGATGCTGTTAATATAAGTGTCAACTTCACTGGATAATGGAATACCTAAAAACTTGGTAAAGCATTACTTTGGACTTGGCTCTGAGCATGTTCGCAGAGGAAATTAGCATGTGATTCTGAAAGGACTTGGTGGGAAAGCTCCATCCTCAGTATAGGTGGATATATCCACTCAGCCAGGTGCCCGGAGAGAACAAATGTGGAGCTGAGCTCTGCTTTGAGACATGAGATGAACACTTTTCTGCTGCCTTGGACATTAGAACTCAATGCTGTTCAGCCATGGGACTCTGAATCTTAGACCAGCATCCTCCTGGGCTCTCAGACTCTTAGCCTCCCACCAAAACTTGCAGCACTGACTTTTCTGTATCAAGAGACTTGGGTTTGAGCTGAGCTACATTGCTACTATTTCAGGGTCTCCAGATTGTTAAAAAAATCTGTTGTGTAACTCATCAGCCACCATAATCACATGAACCGGTTACCTTAATCTTCCCACTCATACAACTATAGGTATATTCTATTGGTTCTGGCTCTAGAGTGCCTAAAGACAGGTGCTCTAAGAGTCCTAAGGCATGCCTTCTAGAAGGGGGTGACTTGACAGCTTAGAGAGCCCAGCAATGGTTCTAGAGGAAGTTACACCTAGTTGATAATATGTTTTTCGAAAATAAAAGTCTCTGTCTCAAATCCTGGACAAGCTCAGTTATTTCTTGAGCCCTTCTCAAGTTCTGCAGATGTCCCCAGAAAGCTTTGTGAGTTACAGCACCAGTGGGTCTTGCTAGGAGAGAACAAGAGAAGACAAGAAGCCAAAGGTTTCATGCCTTATCCTACACTGCTCTGGGCATTTTTAGGTCACATATGTGGCACACACATTGGAAGGTGAGATGTTCCTCTGCTTGAGGAGAGAACTTATTTCCTCTCTGCAGTGAAATATGTGGGCCCTTTATGGTTTCCACTCATATCATTACCCCTGGTGTGAGCAAGTTGTATGAAAATTATAATGACATGTTCTGGGCCTAGGTCTGAAGAAGGTGGATGGCAGGGCACTTCTCTAGCATGCACAAAGAAGTTTTGAGTCACATAACCTGTAATTGTTCTCTATTTTGTTCGGTTTTACAGGATCTGTCTATGCAGGCAAGACAAGCCTAAAACACCCTATCTTTCTGCCTCAGTTCTTGGCATTGGAAACCCATACCAGCACTCCCAGAAATAATATTACTGTTTACATACTATTTATTATTTGTATACTTTAGTAGTTGTAGCATACATTCATTCATTTATTGGCAGTACTTAAAACTAAGCCCAGGGTCTTGCACATGCTAGTCAAGTGCTATGCCACTGAGATATATTTAGATAAGAAGACACAAAGACTCACAACTGGACAATATGAGAGGCTTTGAAGCACTGAGTCCTAAATAGGATGTTCCCATCAAAGCCCTCCCCTCATGGCTCAGGGAGCTATTCAGAAGAGGAGGAAGAAAGAGTATAAGAGCCAGAGGCAGTGGAGGACTCCAAGGAAAGTGTCTCCCAGACACATCAGGCCTGATGAGCTCTCAGAGACTGTAGCAGCATGCTTAGGATCTTCAGAAGTTTAAGCCAGATGGAGGTGTCAGCATTGAGGGGAGAAAGTGGATATAGGGTCCCACCTGCTACCAAGAAGCTATTTGCAACTGATACTTACTGGCAAAGAGAAAATTATTTTTCTCCAGTGGAGTGTCACTGGCTATATCAACTACACTTCAGGCCAGGCCCCATGCCCAGGAATAGTTGGCCAACACAAAACAAACCCCATGTTTTTATGGGCCTTATGTTAACTCTTTTTTTTTTTTGGCATCTTTTTGGTTTTGTTTGTTTTTGTTTGACTTTGAGAGGGAGAGGGAGGGAGAGAGAGAGAAAGAAAATGGGAGAGAACATGAAGTTGACTGGATAGGGAGGTGGGGAGGAACTGGGAGGAGTTAGGCAAGGGGAACAACATAATCAAAATATATTATATGGAAGAATTAAAAAAAACATATAAAATACTTATGACAAAAAGAGCCAGTTTGAGCAAAATTTCATGAAGGAAATTTAGGACATACTTAGTGTCCATGGTTTTGAGACCAGGACATTTCCTTAAAGAAACCCTTATTTTACAGTAATTTGCACATAACTGTTACGGTGGCCTGATCATTTCTTTATCCATCTAAAAGTATTTTTTAAGTATCCAGTAGGTGCAAAATACTGCCACTGCTATATTTATACCCATTACATAAAACCATTAAAATATTAATACAAAACAAAACAACAACAACAACAAAATCTTTGACCCCATGGCCTTTTTTTAGTGATTCGGGGTCTTTCACAGTGTAGAATTTAAGTGAGACTTATCCAAAATACTATGTTACCAGGAGCCATATTGTTATCAGACTTTAAACCTGGTGTTTTTAG